TAATCCCTTGGAACCCCTTATAACCTCCTGTACCCCTCGTAACCCCTTGTAACTCCTTGGATAGGATAGGATAGCTGCTTTATTATAAACAGAGCGCCTACAGAGACATATTTGTTACCCGTTGTAACCACCTGTAGCCACTTGTAGCCCCTTGCTACCCGTTGTTGCCTTTGTGACCCCTTGTTTCCCCTTGTTACTACTTGTTCTCCTTGTTACTCCTAGTTACCTCTTGTTACCTTTTGTTACCTCGTGTTTCCCTTTGTTTCCTCTTCTTACCTCTTGTTACCCTTTGTTACCCCCTGTCACCCCTTGTTACCCTTGTTACCCCTTGGTATCCCTTGTTACTGCTTTTTACCCCTTGCAACCCCTTGTTTTCCCTTGTTTCTTCCTGTTACCCTTGTTACCTTTTGTAACCCTTTGTCACCCCCTGTAACCCCTTGTAACCCCTTTTAAGCCCCTGTAACCCCTTGTAACCCCTTGTCACCTCTGTAACACTTGTAACCCCTTGTTACCCCTTGTTCCCTCTTTTGCGTTTTTGTTAGCCCTTGTTTCCCCTTGTTACTTTTTGTTCCTCCTTGTTACCCCTGGTTCCCCTTGTTGCCCCTTGTTACCCCCTGTGCGGGGAAGGTTAAGGATGTCTCGGACCTGTATTTTTTTTCAAATGAGGTGTGATAGAAGATGATTTCATAGCTCGAACACACCTGGTGCACAGTGACATGCTTATTGACACTTTGAAAAAAAAAGACTTTTCCAAGCACATATCACTAGGGTGATCTCAGGTTACACTGGGTGACAAGAAATACAGGAGGTTACAATGGGTTACGGGGGGTTACTACAAGGGTTACAGGGGGGTATTAGTGATTACAAGGGATTACAGTGGGTTACATAGATGATGTTACATGGGCGGTTTGCTCACTCATAAAATATTTTTTAAAAGTTGAAGAAAAATTTCGTACCCTCTAGCGACCACGTAATTTTCTTTTCGTTATATAAGATCCTCACAATACAACAAAAGCTGTTTTTATTCTGTATTTGAAAAAGTAAAGGTTTGAAATTGACTTCAAAAGCCTACAGTCAGTTATGTAAGTAGAAAATGTATAAGAAACATCCAAACATGTAGACAGATAACTGCTAAGTCAAGATCTCATGTCACAAATAGGTAGCCGCCCTGTGCGGCAACAATTAACATATTATTTATTTTATAGGGAACTGGGAAAATTGCGTTCTCATATAGAACTTAAATGCAAAAAGCTGAGTGCAGAAGAGATGGAGTGGATAGAACAGACAGCTAATCAGATCATAAGGGACAACACACCTGTTAATGTTCATGTGCACCCCAGTGCAGCTTGTCCTGAGCTACGGAATGTAAGTTTGCATAAACAGGGAAAGTATGGATATGTATAGTAGAGTATGGGTATTTATGGTAGAGTACGGATAGTTATCGTACGGTATCACCGTAGGGGAACACATGTTACTGGGAATATGTGTTCCCGGGTGGGGGAAACACATTTCACTAGGGATATGTGTTTCCCAGGTAGAGGAACACATATCACTAGAAATATGTGTTCCTAGGTAAGGGAACACAGATCACTAGTGGAATGTGTTTCCCGGGTAGAAGAACACTAGTGATATGTGTATCGCAGGTAGAGGAACACAGTTATAATTATTGCTAGGAATTATTCCTGGGTGGGGAAAACTCATTTCACTAGCCATATGTGTTAGGGGGAACACATATGAACACTTATTACTGTGACGTCGTAGTAATGTGTCCCCTCTAACACATACCCCAAGGGAAATGCGTTTCCTCTACACGGAAACACATATCACTATGTGTTCCCCTACCTGGGAAATATATCACTAGTGATATGTTCTCCTACGCGGGAAACACATATCACTGGTGATGTGTGTTCTCCTACCTGGGAAACACATACCACTAGTGATATGTGTTCCCCTACCCAGGAAACACATATCAGTAGTGATATGTGCCTACCAGCGCTAAGCAGCAAACAGCTATACATTTGTGTAATTGATCTTTTATCTTTTCTTTCAGGCAACAACAAGAGGGCTGCCTGATGACCATGAGGGTCCAGTGCGAGTTATTGAAATTCCAGGTCTGTTTCACAGTCCTATATCCACCGCACCCTCCCCCCCGCTTTTACCTGTCGTTAAATTATCTGGGGGTGGGGGTGGGGAGAAAAAAGGAGAGAGGTGTCGTCACATCTGAGGAATTTTAATTTCGTCATCGAAAAGGTCGATGCAAAATAATGATTGGCCAAGATGAAATTTGGCAATGACGTCATTACTGTCCGAAACTGAGGAGTGACAGGCCAGATACCTTTCTTCCCTTCCCTCATAGCCCCCCAAAGAGATTAATAGTCACATTTGAAAACTCGAGTGAATTATTAAGAGTGAAGAAAATTGTTGTGTTTTGTTCCTTTTTTAACATGTCAGGGATCGACAGGAATATGTGTTGTGGAACACACGTCAGTAATCTCAGTCAAGTGCAGGTACGCAATGTTGAAATATCAGACACATCTCTTTTTAATCCCACTGTTAAATGTGATCCAATTCGGAAGCACATTCAGACACTTGGGAGCTTAAACAACTACGACGGCGACGGCAACAAGAATGGCAAAAACGCAATAGGTTTAGATCAGCAAAACAACAACTTTGCACGTGCCTCATGCCTTTTTGTACATTTCTTCGCCGTCACTGCACCGACGACCTTAAACGTCCTGATTTCACGTTTTGTGGAGGACGGGAGCACATGACAACGATTTTCTTTTTCTTTTTGTGAACTTAGATTCAGTCCTTTAGAATTCAACTCTTGAAAAAAATCGCCAACATTTGACAAATTGAGAGTTGCAATAAGAGCAATGAAGTTTGAAACAGAAACAGCGCAAATTCACTTTTTGGGTGCCGTTTTTGTTGCCGTTGCCGTCTTCGTTGTTTAAGCTTCCTATTAACTAACGAACACATCTCCATGACGGTCATGAATCCAGTCATACTCTATTGTTAAAGTAAAACCCGCATATAAGAACCGAAACGATTAGACCCAAGTCAAATTTAGAAGGATTTGTATGGAGTCATCAGAGCATAACTTGGCCAGTATCACAGAGACAATTTGCCCCACAAGGCTAGTTTTTGGAAAGTAGGCCTCTTGGATGTTGTTCTTTCAGAATATCCTGACAAATCCCAGAATTTCACAAATTTAACTTTTTATGACGTCACACTTCAGTACTCCATACCAGTTGCTTCAAACATTTGCTTAGACTTGCAACAAGTCGACCTCTTGGCGAGCGGAGCGAGCCTTTTTGGCCGACTGCGAGTGACGAAGTCGCGAGAGGTCGACTTGTCTCACTTGATGGGTTGCCATTTGCATTTCGCGCCAAAAATGGGGATTGACGTGACTCGCATTTGGGGTTTCAGGTTTCATTCGCGAGTCCTTGACTTCAATGGCGGAATGTGCTGTTTCGACTCCGACTAAATCTATTGAACGTGTGTGTTTATCTCCATCATCGAAGGAGCAAATTTGTTTACTTTGTACGAAAGTTTTCTCTAACAATGATTTTAGGCGAAAGTTGATGACCTCAGGGGGCCGGAAAAAACAAAACTTGTTTCAATCTCGAGTCAATACTGGGAAAGGAGATTTCACAACCGAGGAATCCTTGACATCCGCACACATTTTAAACCTACAGAGACTTTTCAATACACGCATTTCTCTTCCTGTAACCCTCACGGGGTCAGAACTGACTCCTCAGCTAAATCCTTCTATGAAAACATCTATAACTTCAAAAACCGCCTTCGCGCTAGAGGTTACCCTCACAATCTCACCTCAATCACTTCTGAGGTTAAATTTACCGAACGGAAGTCAGCTTTACAAAAGAACAGTGAAGTGCAAAACAAAATTCTACCTTTCGTTACCACATACCACCCTTCTTTGCAGAACCCTGAAATCATTTTAATGAGCAAATGGCACTTAATTCAAGATCAACCACTACTAAGAGAAATATACAACAAGCCTCCCATCATTTCATATAAAAGAGCAAAATCGCTGGGAGATATCCTCGTTAGAGCAAAACTATAAGGTTACGTATCACACTATCACGAGCTTATGAGTCAAACCGCAAGTCACGTTTCACTGCGCTTAGTACATGTGAGTGACAGCTTTATCCCGAAGGGTCCTTGGGAGCTATTCTGATTGGTCCAAGCGTACTGACCCGTTTGGGTCGGTGAAATTGGCGCCAATCAAGTATGAAAAGTCCTTCGTCTCGCGCCAAATGAAATCCGACGAAGGACTTTTTTGAAAGTCTAACATTTGCTGTGTTAGAGGTGTTTCATCCCAAGAGGGGAGGGGGTAGGGTGTGGGTATGCCTCCCCTACTGGCAGTCATGTAATGGTCTCCCAGAGTAAACATGTTTTTGAGGTACATATCATTAAAGGACAATAATTACTGTTTATATTTAAGGTCATCAAACTGTTTCCAGAAACAGAATCAATGCGAGGTGGTACAAGACTGTTTTTCCTTGCTGGAGACAGGGTTCTAAAGTACCTTGGTAAAGCTTTAGATAATGAGAGAGCATTGACTAGGATGTTAAGGTAAGAGCTTGTTCATGTGAGCTTTCATTTAATGGTCACACCTTGGCTTAGGATTTCATCTTCAAACTCAAGAGTTAGAACTACTTTGTATCAGTACAACAATCCTACTGAAAAGTACCGCTCAGTAGCTTTCATCTGAATGGTCACACTAAGGATTAATCCACAGACTCAAAAGTTAGAATCACCTTGTGCAGTATAATAAAACAGTACCACAGGAAAGTAATGTTCAGTAGCTTTCATTTGAATGGTCACATTTTAGGGTTTCATCTACAGACTCAAAAGGTAGAACCACAGGAAAGAAATGCTCAGTAGCTTTGATTTGAATGGTCACACTTTAGGATTCGTCCACAGACTCAAAAGGTAGAACCACCGTGTACAGCATAATACACAGTACCACGGGAAAGAAGTGATATAGTCGTTGCTCTATTTAAACGTCTTCTTCCCCAATAATGAGCTTCTTTTTGTTGAAGAGGGTTCATGCCGGAGAAAAATTCTGTTGATAAATGGCGGCGGCAAAAACACCAGTTTCAGTTTTCAAACACTTAGAAGCATTTGAACTTTCAAGAATTTAGTGAATTAACAGCGTGTTGGTAATGTATTGAACTTTTAACCGTGTAGGTAACAACCTTACCTTTGGAATACTTTGCTTAACTTTCCCAATTTCGGCTCGTTAGACCACAGTGAAACTTATTTATCGCATGTGCACTCACTGGAATTAATCTGTTATCGTTTTCTTAGTGTTGGACCAGATGATCACCCATCAGCAGTGGATCGTATTCAAAACTCACTCAAGTCTGTTAACAAGGTACTTTCGACTACTGTGTGGCACCAAATTTTTGCGGGTTCTAATTTTTGCGATTTTTGCGGTTTTTCCAGCGATCGGCAATAATAAGTTCCTGCAAATAAAAATTACCGCAAACATTTTTGCCGCAAAAATTTACTGCAGAGTAAATATTCTCTAACTTAAATTCGCTTATGTGTATAATTGTAGTCGTGCAGTGAAGGCAAAGAATGTACAAAACAGCGTGACGCACGTACAAAGTTGTTGTTTTGCTGAATAAAGGTGATGTCACACGGGACGATTTGCAACGACGATTCTTAGCGCAACACAGCGTAGCAATGCTGGAACAATGTTGTAACCAGTCGAAACAATGTCGCGACAATGTTGCAACGTTGTGTTGCGCTAAAAATCGTCGTTGCGAATCGTCTCGTGTAGCATCACCTTAAACCTATTGCTTTTTTGACGTTCTCGTTGCCGTCGCCGTCGTCGTTGCTAAAGCTCTCTACTTGTTTCGTGTGGACCGATGGCCGATTCGTGCAAAAAGTTTTGCGGTTTCAAAAATACCCGGATTCGTGTTGACGACGTAGCCTAAAGCTTGACTGTCTTTTGTTCTGTTGATTTTGTTCGACAGGTTACTAAGTCGCAGCTAAGAGAGCTTGCCCAGTTAGAAGCCTATCAGCTTCAATCCTCTTGCGAAACGAAAACGTACTTCTACATACACAGGTAATTGAATAAGACGAGTTAAAGAAGTTGTTAGAGATTGAGTTTAAGTTGGAGCATCTATATTTGCAGTTAGAGTTCGAGTTCAAGTTCGTATTCAAGATCGAGTTTAAATTCGAAATCGAGCTAGGCTGAATCTAACATCATTACCAAGAATATTGATTCAAGACATTTTACTGAGAACGCAAGACATGGCCAATCTTACCGAGCATTGTGTCGATAGTTCTGTGGTTATCGCGTTCAGTGTGTTTTAGTTTACGATATAAGAGAGATTTTGCCTAGTCTCTAGGCCTCATTTTCCGCGCGGTCAATGCGTTTCGGATCACGTGGTATCGGATACGCCCCCGAAATTCAGTGACCGAGAATACCTGGGAAGACGCCGTACGAGGACTAACGGCAGGGCGTAATTTTGATATTTTGTTGTGATGAATGTTTCGTACTTCTTGCTTTCATTCTTCTTAGAGAGAATGGAGATATGGATTACATGAATGCACTGGTCAATGAATTGTCTAAACAAGTAAGTTCTCTTTGCTAACGTTTCTCGCATTTCCTTGTTCTTTTGTTACTGTTTCATTGTTGTTTCTGTCCCCCCTGTTCCCCTGGCTTTTCTTGTTTCCCATATTCCCCTTGTTCCCCTGTTCCACTTGCTCCCCCTGTTCGTCTGTTTCCTCTGTCCCCCCTCTTTAGTCTTTAGTCTTAAAGACTAAAGTCCTTTGTCCCTAGTCCTTTGTTTCCCTTGTTCACCCTATTCCCCTTGTTCCCCCTTTTCCTCTTGATCACCCTGTTCCCCCTGTTTCCTCTGTTTCTCTTGTTCCCCTTGTTCCCCATTTTCCCTCTTTTTCCCTATTTATTTAAGTGGAGTGCGTGTAAACTAGCTGGATACGCTTATTGCACTTTCCACTATAAACAAGCCCTTAAACCTTTTTTTCCTGTTCCCCTTTTTTCCCTCGCTCCCCTGTTCCCCTCGTCCTCCTTGTTTGCCTTGCCCCCCCCCCCCCTTTCTCCTGTTCCCTCTGTTCCTCTGTGGCCCTTGTTCTCGTTTTTCCCTGTTCTTCTTGTTTCCTCTCTTCCCCTTGTTTTCCCTGTTCCTCTTGTTCCCTCTTTCCCCCTGTTCCCCCTTTTTCCCTGTTCCCCTGTCATCCTTGTTCCCCGTTTCCCCGTTCCCCTGTTTTCTGTGTTACTTCTGTTCCTCTTGTTACCCTTTCCCCCTGTTCCCATTTTTTCCTTTTCCCCCCTATTCCCCTTTTTCTCCCCGTTTCCCTTGCCCCCCCTGTTCCTCTCGTTTCCCCTGTTCCCCTTGTTCTTCTGTTCCCCCGGTTCCCCACGATCCCCTTGTTTTCCCTTTTCCCCTTTTTTCCTGCTCCCCTTCTTCCCCTTGTTTCCCTGTTCCCCTTGTTGCCATGTTCCCTCATTTCCTCTGTTTCCCTTGTTCCCCCTGATCCCCTTGTTCCCCCTGATCCCCTTGTTTCCCCTTTCCCCTTTCCCCTTCCTCCCCGTGTTTCCCTGTTCCCCTCGTTGCCTTGTTACCTTATTCCCGCTGTTTCCCTCGCTCCCCTGTTCCTATTTTTCCCTATTCTTCTTGTTCCCGCTGTTCCCCTTTTTGCCCTGTTCTCCTTGTTCCCTTTGTCCTCTCTGTACCCCTTGTCTTGTTATCTGTTTTTTTTTTTATCTTACCACCGTATCAGAAACTTGGAAAATGAAGTTTGTGTCTTTTTAAACTTTTTTTCAGCCTCGGCTTGTTCTAGTAACAGTAGGACCCGACAAAGGACCCGGGCAGTTCCTTCTTTTTGGAGACGAGAAGCAAGTGTCACAGATAGGCCCAAAGTAAGTACTTTGACAAAATGTTCTAAGAAATGTTGGGGAACAAGGAAACAAGCGGAGAAGGTAACAAGGGAAAAGTGCCAACGCCGAGACTGAAATATGTTCCCGACCGTATAGGTTTTTTTTCATAACGTTGGTTAGGACCGCGGTAGTCTTCAGTTGTTTTTTAAGCCCATTTTCCATAAGCCGGCGATCAGGCTGTCGTGTTGCAGTTTACGCTAGTTTTCGTGCGAGCAGTTATCACCCGGCTGAACAGAAACGCCTCGACGGCTCGCTTGCCCGTCTAACAGTCAGGCTGCTCAGTTTCCATATGGCTATTCGCATCCTTGCTTTATTTGTTTAGTTCCAAGAGTGAACCAAATCAATTTTCTCTTAAAAAGTACCAATACGTCGTCCCGAGAAAAAGTTATGCGAACAAATAAAATGATCATCTAAGGCACAATTATCAATTTGAACTCACAGGTAGCTCGAACAGCGGCACCATATTGCATGGGGAGGGTGGGGGAGTGATTGCTTTATTTTCACCTCAATGAAACGGAAGAAAGGCCTTTGAGGCAAAGTGTCTCAACTATTGTCACTGCATACAGAATAAGCGCATCACGGATTGAGACTCTAAACCTTTAGATTCCACTGTGCTTTCATGTCTCTTGGGCAGGGATGATACTTAGCTGTCCATCTGCTTAAATTCCCGTGTTTTTCATCTTTCGGTATCATTCGGCCTTTAGTCGCCACACCCTCCTCCCCTGGTGCCGGTTGACGAGGCCAAGTTTGTCGCCCGCTGCTCACCTTGTTACCACAGTTGTCACCGTCTCCTCCCATAACTTAGTAATGACTAATTTAGTTGCCGATTGAGTGTTATCACAGGAAAATCTGTTTTATTAATCATGCTCTAGCTTAGCCTTATTTATTCACTGATCTCTGTTACGTTGTGCAGAATTGCTGCTGTTTTTGAAGGCAAAGGCGGCGGAAAAAAGGGAAGATATCAAGGCAAAGCAAACACATTGAAGACAAGAAGTTCTGCTGAAGATCTTCTAAAGGAATTCACTTCGATGTTAGTTAACGAGAGTTAACCCAGCAGTTACAAAAATGTTCTTAGAAATGGACAATTGTTTCACAGTTTTAGAATTCCTAGAATAGTGCCAGATTTCATATAGCCGCATGAAGTCCTTTCCCTGTCCTTTTCCTCGCCAAAATACCATGGTCTGACTTTGTAGAGCTTTTTCACATGATCTCATGTCCGCAATATCGGTGTTCCAAAACAATGAAACAGCGGCTAGTAGGCGTCCCAAACAATTTCTTATGTAAAACCCTACTTTTCTCAATAAATTTGGTTATTATTTGTTAAAAATATTTCGCCGTTTCCTATTGGCTAAAATCACCCGCATAATACATCATAACCAGCTACTGTTGATCAAATTTGGAAGAATTTTTTTCACATTCAACCGGTGACGTCAAAAGTGCAGCAGAGTTGAAGATTATTGAACCATTAAACAAGAAAACCTGGAAACGAGTTTGAGTTGTTTTCGAACTGAGTAATGGCAGAATATTTTACTCGTTCACGACGAACTATTGTCTAAAACCTGGCAAGAACAGCAAAAAGACAACTCGACGGACGACATCTGCTAATTGGAGAATATTTGCAGACCCGAAAAGCCCTTTATCTCATGAACGTCCCGATAAAGATGCACTATCGATATGGACATCGATGGAGGTAAGCATATTTTAGCTTGTTTTTACACTTGGAATAATTTTAAATGAATAATAAAGCAATCGGCCTCCGTGAATAATACCCTCCTGGATTTGCAGAATTTTTCATATCCTTCTCAGCTTCATTCAATAATTGCTAAATAGCTGCTGGCTAAATAAAAAGGCTCTGTAATCAGTTGCAATTTATTATTTGTTTTGGGAGTAGGTGGGGACGGGGGCATGGAAAGGAGCGTTTGAGTACTTTGTGATAATGATTTTGAAACAAACGAGAATAACACATAAACCAAAAATAAAATTGAGCCACAATTTTTGAGAGACAAGAAGGACATCGTTGTAGCTGTCACCGCGTCAGTCGTAAAGAGTTGTATTCCAAATTGAAAGTCAAATAAAAAGAAAAATCGTTTAAAAGTTATTGACCATTCTCTGCGCTTTCAATGTTCAACCAGTGTTTCTCAGACACTGTAGACAAAATCTCGATTGCCACGGAACATTCGCTACAAACAGGACTTTTAAGACAGTTACTAGGGACTGGGGACAAAATTTGTAACAATCTTGGTAATAATTATTAAGGGAATCTTGGGAAAATTCTTCGTAACAATTACTACGGGAATCTTGGCAAGAATCTTGGTAAGAATTACTACGGGAATCTTGGTAAAAATCTTGGCAAGAATTACTACGGGAATCTGGGTAAGAATCTTGGCAAGAATTACTACGGGAATCTTGGTAAGAATCTTCGTAAGAATTACAAGGGGAATCTTGGTAAGAATTACTACCGGAATCTTGGCAAGAATCTTGGCAAGTTTTACCACTTAAATCTTGGTGAGAATCTTGCTAAGAATTACCACGGGAATCTTAGTTAGAATCTTCGCATGATTTACTACGGGAATCTTGGCAAAAATCTTGGTAAGAATTACTACGGGGATCTTGGTAAGAATCTTGGGAAGAATTACTACGGGAATCTTGACAAGAATCTTGGCCAGGTTTACCACGGATATCAAGGTAGGAATCTTGGCAAGATTTACTACAGAAATCTTGGCAATGATCTTGGTAAGAATCTTGGCTAGATTTACTACGGGAATCTTGCCAAGATTCTTGGTAGGAATTACTACGGGAATCTTGGTACGAATCTCGGTAAAAATTACTACGGCAATCTTGGCAAGAATCTTGGGAAGAATTACTAAGGGAATCTTGGCAAGAATCTTGGGATTAGTTACTAAGGCAATCTTGCAAGAATCTTGGTAGGAATTACTACGGAAATCTTAGTAAGAATCTTGGCAAGACTTGCTACGGAAATCTTGGCAAGAAATACTACGGCAATCTTGCTAAGAATCTTGGCAAGATTTACTACGGGAATTTTGACAAGAATCTTGAGAAGAATTACTACGGGAATCTTAACAAGTATCTTGGCAAGTCTAACCACTTAAATCTTGGTAAGAATCTTGGTGAGAATTACTACGGCAATCTTGGCAAGAATCTTGGTAAGAATTACTACGGGGATCTTGGTAAGAATCTTGGCAAGACTTGCTACGGAAATCTTGGCACGAATTACTACGGCAATCTTGCTAAGAATCTTGGCAAGAATTACTACGGGAATTTTGACAAGAATGTTGAGAAGAATTACTACGGGAATCTTGACAAGATTCTTGGCGAGTCTTACCACTTAAATCTTGGTGAGAATTACTACGAGAATCTTGGTGAGAATCTTGGCAAGATTTACTACGGGAATCTTGGGAAGAATCTTGGTAAGAATTACTACGGGAATCTTGGTAAGAACTGCTACGGGAATCTTCGTAAGAATCTTAGGAAGAATTACTACGGGAATCTTGACAAGAATCTTGGCAAGGTTTACCACGGAAATCTTTGTTAGAATCTTGCCAAGATTTACTACGGGAATCTGGCCAAGAGTCTTGGTAAGAATTACTATGGGAATCTTGGTACGAATCTTAGTAACAATTACTACGGGAATCTTGGCAAGAATCTTAGGAAGAATTACTACGGCAATCTTGACAAGAATCTTGCAAGGTTTACCACGGAAATCTTGGAAAGAATCTTGGCAAGATTTACTAGAGAAATCTTGGTACGAATCTTGGTAACAATTACTACGAGAATCTTTCAGGAATCTTGGGAAGAATTACTACGGGAATCTTGACAAGAATCTTGCAAGGTTTACCACGGAAATGTTGGCAAGAATCTTGGGAAAAATTATTAAGGGAATCTTGGCAAGAATCTTGGTAAAAATTACTACGGGAATTTTGTAAGAGTCTTGGCAAGATTTACTACGGAAATCTTGGTAAGAATCTTGGCAAAATTTATTAAGAGGATCTTGGAAAGAATCTTGGTAAGAATTACTACGGCAATCTTGGTAACAGTCTTGGCAAGGTTTACTACGGGAATGTTACTAAGAATCTTGGCAAGAATTACTACGGTAATCTTCGCAAGAATCGTGGCAAGAATTACTAAGGAAATCTTAAGAATCTTGGCAAGTTTTACCACCGAAATCTTAGTAAGAATCTTGGCAAGATTTACTACGGGAATCTTGGCAAGAATTTTGGTAAGAACTACTACGGGAATCTTGGTAAGAATCTTGGAAAGATTTACTACGGGAATCTTGGCAAGAATCTTGGTAANCTATGGGAATCTTGACAAGAATCTTCGCAAGGTTTACCACGGAAATCTTTGTTAGAATCTTGCCAAGATTTACTACGGGAATCTGGCCAAGAGTCTTGGTAAGAATTACTACGGGAATCTTGGTACGAATCTTAGTAACAATTACTACGGGAATCTTTGCAAGAATCTTAGGAAGAATTACTACGGCAATCTTGACAAGAATCTTGCAAGGTTTACCACGGAAATCTTGGAAAGAATCTTGGCAAGATTTACTACGGAAATCTTGGTACGAATCTTGGTAACAATTACTACGAGAATCTTGGGAAGAATTACTACGGGAATCTTGACAAGAATCTTGCAAGGTTTACCACGGAAATGTTGGCAAGAATCTTGGGAAAAATTATTAAGGGAATCTTGGCAAGAATCTTGGTAAAAATTACTACGGGAATTTTGTAAGAGTCTTGGCAAGATTTACTACGGAAATCTTGGTAAGAATCTTGGCAAAATTTATTAAGAGAATCTTGGAAAGAATCTTGGTAAGAATTACTACGGCAATCTTTGTAACAGTCTTGGCAAGGTTTACTACGGGAATGTTACTAAGAATCTTGGCAAGAATTACTACGGTAATCTTCGCAAGAATCGTGGCAAGAATTACTAAGGAAATCTTAAGAATCTTGGCAAGTTTTACCACCGAAATCTTAGTAAGAATCTTGGCAAGATTTACTATGGGAATCTTGGCAAGAATCTTGGTAAGAACTACTACGGGAATCTTAGTAAGAATCTTGGAAAGATTTACTACGGGAATCTTGGCAAGAATCTTGGTAAGAATTACTACGGGAATCTTGGTAAGAATCTTGCTAAAGATTTACTTCGGGAATCTTCGACAGACTCTTGGTAAGAATTACTACGGGAATCTTGGTACGAATCTTGGTAACAATTACTAAGGGAATCTTGACAAGAATCTTGGGAAGAATTACTATGGGAATCTTGGTAACAATCTTGGCAAGATTTACTACGGGAATCTTAGATAGAATCTTAGGAAGAATTACTACGGGAATCTTGACAAGAATCTTGCCAAGTTTTATCACGGAAATCTTGGTAAGAATCTTGGCAAGATTTACTACGGAAATCTTGGTAAGATTTACTTCGGGAATCTTCGACAGAATCTTGGTAAGAATAACTACGGGAATCTTGGTAAGAAACTTGGCAAGAATTACTACGGCAATCTTCGAAAGAATCTTGGCACGAATTACTAAGGAAATCTTGACAAGAATCTTGGCAAGTCTTACCACGGAAATCTTGGTAAAGATCTTGGCAAGATTTAGTACGAGAATCTTGGTGAGGATCTTGGTAAGAATTACTACGGGAATGTGGGCAAGAACCCTGGTAAAAAATACTACGGGAATCTTGTAAGAGTTTTTGCAAGATTTACTACGGCAATCTTGACAAGAATCTTGGCAAGATTTACTGAGAGAATCTTGGAAAGAATCTTGGTAAGAAGTACTACGGAAATCTTGGTAACAGTCTTGGCAAGATTTACTAGGGGAATCTTGGCAAGAATCTTGAGAAGAATTACTACGGGAATCTTAACAAGTATCTTGGCAAGTCTTACCAGTTAAATCTTGGTAAGAATCTTGGTATGAATTACTACGGTAATCTTGGAAAGAATCTTGGTAAGAATTACTACGGGGATCTTGGTAAGAATCTTGGCAAGACTTGCTACGGAAATCTTGGCAAAAATTACTTCGGCAATGTTAGTAAGAATCTTGGCAAGAATTGCTACGGGAATTTTGACAAGAATGTTGAGAAGAATTACTACGGGAATCTTGACAAGATTCCCTGCGAGTCTTACCACTTAAATCTTGGTAAGAATTACTACGGGAATCTTGGTAAGAATCTTGGCAAGATTTGCTACGCAAATCGTAGCAAGAATTACTACGGCAATCTTGCTAAGAATCTTGGCAAGAATTACTACGGGAATTTTGACAAGAATCTTGAGAAGAATTACTACGGGAATCTTAACAAGTATCTTGCAAGTCTTACCACTTAAATCTTGATAAGAATCTTGGTGAGAATTACTACGGCAATCTTAGCAAGAATCTTGGTAAGAATTACTACGGGGATCTTGGTAAGAATCTTGGCAAGACTTGCTACGGAAATCTTGGGAAAAATTACTACGGCAACCTTAGTAAGAAACTTGGCAAGAATTACTACAGGAAATTTGACAAGAATGTTGAGAAGAATTACTACGGGAATCTTGACAAGATTCTTGGCGAGTCTTACCACGTAAATCTTGGTAAGAATCACTACGGGAATCTTGGTAAGAATCTTGGCAAGATTTACTACGGGAATCTTGGTAAGAATCTTAGAAAGAATTACAACGGGAATCTTGACAAGAATCTTGGCAAGGTTTACCAAGGAAATCTTTGTAAGAATCTTGGCAAGATTTACTACGGGAATCTGGCCAAGAGTCTTGGTAAGATTTACTACGGGAATCTTGGTACGAATCTTGGTAACAATTACTACGGGAATCTTGGCAAGAATCTTGGGAAGAATTACTACGGCAATCTTGACAAGAATCTTGCAAAGTTTACCACGGAAATCTTGGAAAGAATCTTGGCAAGATCTACTAGAGAAATCTTGGTACGAATCTTGGTAACAATTACTACGAGAATCTTGGCAAGATTCTTGGGAAGAATTGCTACGGGAATCTTGACAAGAATCTTGCAAGGTTTACCACGGAAATCTTGGCAAGAATCTTGGGAAGAATCATT